ATACAAAAATAAACCTTTAAGATTTTTTGAAAAAAAAATATATTTCAAATAAACAATATCAAAACAATTAAAAATTAATTTAGAAAAAAAATGTTCCACAAACAAACCAGAAACCAGATGGAGACATCAAGGGAAAAACAATCACGATGAGGAAGACGCGGTTGGAGGAAGTTAGAAGAGAAACCAGCAGGGAGGAACTGCACATGGAGTGTATTTATGGGAGACTGAACAAAGAGAGGACTAACAAGCAGATTGGGAGCAGGTGTGAAGAGAGCAGACTGGAAAGGAGCTAGGGAAAAAGGAGAACACTAGAGGGCAGCAGAGGGCAACAAATAAAAACCTGAAAACCGAAAAATAATAACCAGGGAACACAACAAAATAAGAATTAAGCCACTAAAACTAGAAAACATGGAGCAAAGTAAAACTGAAAACTCGAAAGAAAACATGACAGAACCTAGACTGTGACACAGAACCCATTTGTGATTAAACGTTTATCAAAGTTTCATTTTATTTCTGGATGCATTTTCTTTCCCAAGGTTCCATTAACCCAACCTGTTCTATGCAATAATAATGGAACAAAGTTCCCTCCATACAGGAGGCAGTGGAGCGGCTGCAGATCCAGAAACATTTCGCAGACTAAAACTCTCAGCTTTCAGTTTTTAGATGTTAGTGTTTTTATCTGAAAAGGTGAATATGGTGTCTGCTCTGTTCCCTGCAGAGTCCTTCATAACTACATGCTGTGGCGCATCGTGGCGGCGCTCAGCGAGCACCTGTCCACTGCCTTCAGGAGCACCATCCATGAGTTTTCCAGGGAGATCGACGGCACCGAGCAGCAGCTGGAGCTGGGCCGCCTCTGCCTCACGCAGGCCAACAAGCACTTCGGCATGGCGTTGGGGGCGCTGTTCGTCCAGAAGCACTTCTCCTCACAGAGCAAGGCTAAGGTCAGGACGGACGCATGCAGCATCTGCAGATCATCCTAAACTTTACTGTCAACATTTTATTTTTAACCAGCACCTTTTCATTGGTCGTTAAATACAACAAACAGATTTATCCGTCTAATCCCGCCTCCTGATCGGGTTATCTAACGCTGAACGTTTTAATGTCAAAGACGCATCTTTGTGCCTGTTGGCCGAGCGGCCACTAAATTAGGTACACCTGTCTGTGGCAGCCGATCGTGCCACGCTGCCTTCCACCTGTCAATCAAAGATTGATTAAATATCAGAACGGTTCCTCAGAGGTTCTGCTCCTCATTGAAAGTTTCTCCATGATGGGAATCTTCTCCTCCACCAGCAGGAGCTGAGAATAAAGTCCAAATACTTTGTTACTTTACTGAAGTAGAAATATTGGCTATCTATACTTTACTGGAGTTATTTTTTAGACAACTTTTTACTTTCTACTCCTTACAACTTAAAAATAGACTCATTAGTTTCATTTAAATTATGAAAATAATTAATATTAGTCATAAATGAAATGAATATTTAAATGTCATTATTTACTTCTGTTTATTTATTTCTATGCAGAAAACTCACAATAAAATTATTTAAACACATCAAATTCAGTGGGCGGGGCTAAGGCCTCTTCCATAAAAACCCTAACCTCTGATTGGCTGTTTCTACATCTCGTACTTAATGATACATTTATTTAATTTCACTTTGTCCCTTTTAACCAGAGGTGTCTAAAGTATGGATGCTGTTTAAAAACACTTTTATAGAAGTTAGAGGATCAACTTCAGCTTTTTACTCCAGTAAAAATGTAAAAGTAGCATTTTTAAAACTACTGAAAGTATAAAAATAAAAGTAATGCAGGAAAAACTGTAAAGGCCAGAAGTTTTACTGCTATTTAAGGAACATTTTCTACAATTCTGGATGAAAACTTCCTTAGACTTTATTTTCTTAGTTTTATAGTTATTGGTAACAGAGTCACATTAAACTTTGCATCATCTAGAAAAACTATTTATTTTGTTATGTGTTGAGCAACACGTTGGGGCAGCACCGAGACCAACAACAAAGAAATAAATTATCTGGATGAAACTATTAATTTTGATGGGTTTTTTTTGTTTTGTTTGATTGTTTTTTTAAATGCCAACAGGCCTTAATGAGAATGAGCTTAAATGAAAAAAAAAATAGTGAGTCTATTTAAGATCTAAAGAGTAGAAATGAAAAAGTCCTCCAGTAAAGTATAGATCGCCAATATTTCTACTTAAGTAAAGTAATGAAGTATTCGTACTTTGGAACTTGACTTCCTTTAAGCATCTAAAGCAGACAGCTCTTATTGCACACTGCCAGTCAGCTGGCTGAAAACAGGCTACTAATTTCCCGGATATTAAGCATGACACTAATCCCACCAAAGGCTGGATGCATGTTGCCGTGGCAACAACATAGTATAATAACCTTAGTTATAAAGTAATGTTATCAGAAGGAACTTTGTTTTCTCAAACTTCTTCAGTTATTTAAAAATGCTCGAAATATAATTTTCCAGGAAATAAAAACCCAATCAGGGATGAAGACTTTGGTCCAAACCCCTCCTGAGCGCCGCCTGCAGCCACGGCGGCTCACGCTGCGAAGCCTCAGCGGCGCTGCGAAGCCTCAGCGGCGCCGCTCGCTCTGTGCTGAATAATAACTCAGGCGTTTACGCCTCCTCCTCTTTTCTCTGGTTGAAGGTAAATAGTTTGAGGATCCAGATTGATTCGTTTGGATGTTCAGTGAAAACCTTTCAGCTGCTTCCAGTTCCACCGTTTATAGAACTGGATCCCTGACAGGAGGAAGAACGGAGACGTATTTCCCCCGCGCTGCTTTGGAGGTCAGCGTTTATTTGGGTGTGTAGAGACGGTGTCCAGCAGCGCACTGGGACACGCCTCAGCGGCTCTGATGGCTGGACTGGGATCCTTAAATCCTAATCTCTGCCGTCTGCAGGGAATCCGCTCTGCTTGAACTTTCATTTCACTCTCTGCCTTCGTCCGTCACCAACATGAAGCCCTGATGCACCTGAGTGGCTCCTCCAGACCCCAGATGATTGTTATGAACCCCCTACCCACACACACACTCACACACACACTCACACACACACACACACACACACACACACACACACACACGCTGTCTGACGTAAAGCTCTCGTTTTCTTTCTAATTTCTCTCAGATCTCAGAACTTTGAGGCGTTCTAACTCGGCTAAATAAGCTGCGGATGCTAATTAGTTTTAAAGAATGGTATCTTAATTGGAAGTTAAATTCCTTTTTTCGTTTAGATTCTTCCATGATGAGAAGTCTGACTCTTTCAAGAGCTACAAACTGATTAATGGCGAGAAGCAGAGAACATCTGTGGCTTTAAAGCTTCATTTAATCTGAAACCTGCAGAGGAGACTGACCTGCTGATGTCATCAGGTAGCCTTCCTCGTTTTAGAGCCGCTGCTTAACCTCAGCGGGAGGAAAGACAGAAGCTTCTGGTTGAAGGAAAACAGTCAAATTATTTAACATTAATTTCATTTATAGGCCAGTAACTCAAAGCGTCACAATTTTGACTTTTAAGCTCTGATTTTGCTCATTTTGTTAGTGAATAAAGCCTTTCCATGCGTATTTAGCATGACGACGTCATGTGACCAGGATTACATCAATATGCATGTTTATAATCGGTCAACAAGCCCAAGCAATGGAAACAGAGTTAACCTCCCAGGATGGTTTGGAAAATAAGAAAAGTCCAAGAAGAATTTAAAAAAGGAAAGAAGGAAAAAAAGGGAAGATAATTTGAAGAAAATCTGAGAAAACAGTTCAGTTCGATTTATTTCTATAGCTCCAATTCACATCATGTCATCTCA